GTATAATTTTTTCTATCTGTTTTCGATAGATTATTTTACCGATCTGCGGCGGTTTTCGCGGCGGTTTTCGCGGCGGTTTCCGCGGCGGATTTTGCGGCGGTTTTTTGCGGCGAATTTTGCGGCGGTTTCCGCGCCGCCCGCGCCGCCCCGCGCCGTTCTGCGCATTTCGCAGCGTGATTTTTTAGTCACAGCTGCAAACTCTAATATTCTGCAAACGTATGCATTCGTCAATTAGATGAGCAAGAACTAGAATGTGACACATGATATTCTTATTACTAATGAGCACGTACACTGTGCCCCCGCGACAAAATTTTGCAAGCGATGTATGCATTCGACAATTAGATGCGCAAGAAAAAGAATGCGACACATGATATTCTTATTACTAATGAGCACGTACACTGTGCCCCCGCGACAAGATTTTGCATGATATACATCATGGATAATGTTATATAAAAAACGGTAAAGAAACGGTAAACAACGGTAAAGAAACGGTAACGTAAACGGTAAAAAAACGGTATGAATCGGTAAAAAACGGTAAAGAAACAGTAAAGAACGGTAAAGAAACGGTAACGTAAACGGTAAAAACGGTATGAAACGGTAAAAAACGGTAACGTAAACGGTAAAAAACGGTATGAAACGGTAAAAAACGGTAAACAAACGGTAAAGAACGGTAAAGAAACGGTAACGTAAACGGTAAAAACGGTATGAAACGGTAAAAAACGGTAAAGAACGGTAATTATTTCAATGGTACAGTCCATAAGTATTCATGTAAGATCTCGCTCTTATGCATCACAATGTAGCATTTTTGTGCTAACACACCAATTTGTGGTCAACAGTAAGATTTCTGTCTCTCTCTTATGCGTCACAATGTAGCATTTTAGTGCTGTCGCATCGATTTGTGGTTGACAGCAAGATGCGCAGAAAAATGTGAAACAAGATACCATCATGAAGATCATGGAGATATGCATATTTTTCACGTTTTGAAACATATAAAATCATGAGTATTACATCAGCGCATAGTTCAGTCGAGATCCAAGCAGCAACAGATACGGGACACGTGCAACAAATATAACGGCTAAAATGGAGACAAAATCAAGAAAGATATCGATGGTACAGTTTTTGCGTGACAGAGAACTCGGTTTGCGGGGAATAAACAAACGCGGAGTGAAGGAAAATGTTGAAATTCTCAGGTCGTACTCCCAATTTCTGAACTCTTTTCCACATCCAACTTAGAGGATTGGTACGAAAGCCGCATCGTCGAGCCCACATTAGCATCGTTGGAGAAATTCCAGGAACGCGATAGCGGGTGGGCATTATCGCGAATACTGAGGGAGGATAAAAATGTGAAACAGTCGGCCGATAATAGTAAGAGAGCACACAATATTTATTGTAATAATTTCACATAAAATTTACTAATATAATCGATAAATGTAACATTATAATAAAAAGTAAAATATTATAATAAAATTTATTATACATATCAAAGGTTACATAAAGAAACGATAACGAATGGTAAAGAAACGGTATGAAATGGTAAAAAACGGTAAAGAAACGGTAATGGAACGGTAAAGAAACGGTAAAGAAACGGTATGAAACGGTAAATAACGGGAGTGAAACAGTAAAGAAACGGTAAATAACGGGAGTGAAACAGTAAAGAACGGTAAAAACGGTAAAGAAACGGTAACATAAACGGTAAAAAAACGGTAAAAAACGGTAATGAAACGGTAAAAAACGGTAACGAAACGGTAAATAACGGGAGTGAAACAGTAAAGAAACGGTAATGAAACGGTAACGTAAACGGTAAAGAACGGTAAAGAAACGGTAAAGAAACGGTAAAGAAACGGTAAAGAAACGGTAAAGAAACGGTAAGAAACGGTAATGAAACGGTAAAGAAACGGTAATGTGCTAATACATCAATGTGAGGATGCGGTTGACTGCATATGCGACATATGATGTTACTGTTACGTTAGGCTATGCTGATTTTGCACATTTGCCACCCTCGCCTAACGAGACATATTTGTTACAAAGAGATAGCGATGGTCCATATAAATGTCTCCCAGAAGTCACCAGCAAACAGTCCAAGTCCACGGCGACGAGAGAAAGAGAGAGAAAGAAAAATTATAATAAAAAATGCTGAATAATATTGAATACCGCAGACCCGTATATGGAGAGGTGGAGGAGGTTTTTTTACAACAAAGCACTCCACGTAAGTTTTTTAATAGAATGTATAATAATCCAGGTTTTCAAATTTTTAAAATAATAATTAATTCAATTTTAGATACCGAAGAATGGGAGGAAAGGGAGAAGGAGATGGGGGCTAATGAAGAGGAGGAGGAAGTAGACACACAGTCGGTCATAGGTGAGAGAGCAGGCAACATTTTTTATAATTTGTAATCAAATTTTCGATTTTTCTGTATAGAAAAGCGTTAAATTAATTTTTAAATTTGATTTTAAAACATATAGAAGCCATTAACATTAATGACTTTGAGGAGGAGGAGGCTGATGAAGAAATAGGCGTACAGTCGGCCATAGGTGAGAAAGCAGACAACATTTTTTCATAATTTGTAATCAAATTTTCGATTTTTCTGTATAGAAAAGTGTTAAATAAATTTTTAAATTTGATTTCAGATATAGAAGTCATTAATCTTATCAGTGAAGAGGAGGAGGAGGCGGAAATGGAAGAGTCTGAAGAAGAAGAAGAGGAGAATGCGGAAATGGAAGAGTCTGAAGAAGAAGAAGAGGAGGAGGAGGCTGTAAATGAGAGGGAGGTGGAAATGAAGGAGTCTGAAGAAGAGGGAGTAGAAATAATAATTAAAATCAATTGCGGCGAGATACAGATAATAATTAATTTATATTGATATATTTATTATTATTATTATTATATTTTATTATTATTATTATTATATTGTATTATTATTATTATTATATATTATATATTATATATTATTATATTAAATAAATAAAATTATTTCACATATCAAAGGTTAATTCTTTCTGGCGCTGACACTACCACCAATTAAATATTTTCAGTACATTTTGTAACGCACAGTGTTTTGAATGATTATTACACCGTAAAATGTTGGTTTCATCCAGTTTGTCCAATGACGCCATATCCTCGTAATTCGCATCCAGAGTCTCAACGATCACCTTTTCCCTCACATCAGCATCGAGGAGATTCGTCAGCCACTCTCGCTTCTCGTACCCCTTGACGTAGACGAGTTTGGATTCTTCGCTGGTTTCGCTGATCACAGCGTCCGTGATCAAACGTTTCGCTTTGTTGTACGGGACGATTCCATCCTTCCAATGTAGACCATGATGATTAGCCGTCAACCATGCTGCTTTCGATTTGTCAGGCATAGGACTCGCAAAGACATAATGGGAGAGAACAG